GTCTCTCCATCCCCCACATTAAAGTCGGACCTGGAGAGGTGTTACCTATCTCTTCCACCTTGCTTTCTCAGGACCGATTCCTCCCATCTGTGGTGGCTTGACTAGGAACGAGCCCCACAGACTCATGTGTGTGAATGTTTAGCCCATAGCAGTGGCACTGTTAGGAGGAATGACCTTGTTGGAGGAAGTTTGTCACTGTAGGGGTGGGCTTTGAGGTCTTATAAACGCAAGTCTGGCCAGTGTGGTACTGTTCTTCCTTCTGCTGCCTGTGGATTAACATGTAGGACTCAGCTGGGCAGTGGTGCACACACCTTTAATCCCAGCACTCGGGAGCCAGAGGCAGGCAGAGATCTGTGAGTTTGAGGTCAGCCAGGTCTACAGAATGAGTTCCTGGACAGCCAAAGACAGAGAACCCTGTCTTGAACACACCCCCCCCCCCAAAAAAAGATGTAGGATTCTCAGCTCCTCAAGCACCATGCCTGTCTTCATGTCACCGTGTTCTGGCATGATGATAGTGGACCAAATCTCTGAACTGTAAGCCACCCCAGTTATTTTCCTTTATAAGAATTGCTGTAGTCATGGTGTCTCTTCACAACACTAGAAACCCACCATCTCTGGATGTTCCCCACTTAAAACTTTGCCACTGCCCTGCATTCTTGCAGGACAATTTTTCTCTCATCCTTTCTTAGTGATACCTGCTTGCCCAGCACCTTCACTGGATGGAGATCTCCTTAGCTGCTTCCGCAAAGCTTTGTTCCACTTCTTTGAGCCCCCTTTAACCCCGCCCATCTCCAAGATTCTATTTTACAGGTTCACTCCTCCTGCCAGACATGTGCCAAGGTCAACGCACAAGGAGCTCTCCACATACACCAGCTTTGTGGACACCAACTGGGCAAAGATTGACAGGTTAATTTCACCCATATGCCTACTCATAAAAAACTCCATTATCTCTTAACACTTGTGGACACTTTTACAGGAGGGATAGAAGCATTTCCGGTCTCCAGGGAAACAGCAGATGTGATGGCTCAGGATCATGGAGCTGGTGTCAGAAGCTCTCAACATCTCCTGGACAATGGGACTCATCAAACAACAACTAACCAAGCTCTCCATTGAACTCAGGCCTCTCAAACCTCGATGGACAGGACCTCACATAGTAATCCTCACCCCCTCCTTGGCTGCCAAGCTCTTGGGACACCCATGCTGGTACCATCTCTCCGGGCTCAAACAGGTGGGCGCCTACTCAAGACACTTGACACCTGCCTTCTCATCTCCCCCAAGGAACAGACGCCTGCCGTCTCCGGGATGACAGTTCATGGGATGCCACACCTCTCACTGAACGTGGACACCGAGCTCTTCCCTTCCCCATGTCACCCCATGCCTGCAGGAAGTAGCCAGATTTGAGTCTACGTCCTTTTTTTCCAAAGAGAGCCTAAATGTTTGTCATAATTACCACTCCAATTTTCTGTCACCCCCTATATCCAAAGAGTCTGTAATGTCAAGTTGGGAGCTTAGGCCCCAGCCCCTCGCGTCTATCCCAGCCCCCAGGCCTGGTCTGGATTCCAAATCCCAGTAGGCCAGGTCCTGGGTGGGGTCAGGACCACTCCCCAGGGTATTTAAGTAATCTTCAGAAAGAAGAACACACGTGGTCCCTTTTCTTTCCTCCCTGTGGGCCCTTTTGCGAGGCTTCCCGGTTCCCCCTCAGGGCCACCTGAGAGTGCAGAACCTGGATATTTCTTAATTTGGCTTGTTTGGGAATTTTGCGTTGGCAGGGAGCTCACCTTAGGAAGTATTCCTAACATCTTCATGTCACCGTGTTCTGCCATGATGATAGTGAACCAAATCTCTGAACTGTAAGCCACCCCAATTAAATGTTTTCCTTTATAAGAATTGCTGTGGTCGTGGTGTCTCTTCACAACACTAGAAGACACCATGGTAAGGAAGGGCTTTTGAGTATAGATTCTAATATGTACTCTCTTTCCCTTATAGAGCACCAGCTGTAAGACACAGTAAGACAATTCCTCCTTCTCCTCCACTCTTTTTTCTCTTTCTCCTACCAAATCGGATTGGCATGTGTAATACCCTCCATGCATCTTCTTTCTCATTGTAAGTCCTCCCTTGTTTCCTAGGCAGAGAACTCAGCCACAGCTGCATCTCCTGTCTCCCATGGCAGTGGGCACACAGTGCTGCCTAAGATCATAGCCCACACATGATACTTTCAGGGATGGAAACAGGTTCTCTAGTCCATCAGTGTTTGGATGACACGCCTGTACTCACATGGTAGATCCCATTCATCAAGGAGGCATGTCACTCCATAACACCTAGAAGGAGACACCCTGGGGTCCCCCAAAAGGTTATCCTGCCCTTAGACAGCTTGTGCTCCCACAGCAGGGAGCACAGGACTGCCTCTCCCCAACACACATTTGGATCTGTAGGTCCTTGTGCAGGTTCTGCTGTGCTTTCTGGCTTTTCCTGGAGAGAGGCAAACAATGCCTAATCATCCCAGGTGCTGACAGACAGAAGGAGCTGAACTGGAACCCTGTTTATATTCATAAACCAATTAGTTGACAGTGGTCAAGGCTATGTACAGGATTCTTCAGTACAAAACAAAACAAGACAGTTCTCACCTTGAAGAGGAAAAGATGGTTCTTTTAGAGCCAAATCTGAGGCTGGGGAACACAGATTTCTGTTTACCCCAAATTCTGTATTCTGATGTGGAAGTGAGAGACTAGGAGTTAGAGTCTACACTCCAGACAGACTCCCCGGTAGGCAGACAGAGAGGGAGAGGATAAGAAAGGTGGCAGATTTCCAAGATGGGCAGCTTCTTTCTCAGTCAGACCTAGCCACCCACCCTCAATGAGCTCATTAAGACAGACTATTTAAAAGTGGAAAGCAGAAAAAGGGGATTTATGGTCATATTGGGAAGAAGGACACGGCATCCAGACATCCCCCACCTTCCCAGTCTGTCTTCTAGGTCCTGAAGTGAGATCAAAGTTTAAACAGAGTCCAAGGCATGCACATCAAGCAGTTTTGGTCTCGGTGTCCTGTCCACGAAGACTCGTCATTTTTCTGGATTCGGTGGCATCTTGTAAGGTGCTCTGACAAGTTGTTAGAGACTGTGAGAAAGAAATCACTTCCCAGAAGGCAAGGGCCTCCCGGGTTCTGGCCAGGCCCTTCTGAGATTCCTGGGGAGAGCCCCATTTCTTTGAGGCCCTTTGTTCAATAGTCAGATTGGAGATACAAAGTATCTTCCAGTATCTTTGTCTCTGCCAGGCCTGTTATGGAGGAAACTTAACCCATGATGCATTATGCAAGTTTTGAGGGGCAGCACTTTTTAGGAGGTGATGAGATCCACGAGGGCTCTGCCGTCATGAGTGGGTTAATTTTACTGAGGAGTGAGGATGGGTTGAAGAACCAGTCTGCCTCCATCTTCGGTTTTAAAGTCATCTTATATTAAGACAAACTAGGTTGATTCCTGTTTATGATTAACACTGTTTCCCAAGGATTGGGCTACGTCTCCACCTGAAACCTTGACTACACATGGTTCTGTACTGCTGCTCCAGGAATGGCAATCTTTGTTTCAAAACAGTTGTTTATGCCTCTGCCTCATTCTACAATATAGGGCAAAATGAAAGAGAAAAGCTCCTCCTTAAAGAGACAGGGAGGGAGGAGCAAATTCAAGCAGTCCTTAGGAATCCACTCCTAGGATGCAGGCCTGGCTTTGCCCCCTCCCTTTCTCGTTAAGGAGGACACACTTTTTTTCTTTCATTTTACCTTGTACTGTAGAATGAGGCAATAAGATAGCCTTCCTTTCTGGGTGAAAGCCCCTCAATTTCAGATTGCCCAACCTGCTGAACTGTCAGTAAACTTTTCGTTTGTTTTCAAAAATAAACTCTTGAGTCTCAAGGCTTCTGTTTTTTAGCAGCACAAAAGTGGATCATAGCATAATGTTCCCATTCTCCATTTCTTCTCTACTGTTCTTCATGATTCTGTTGACATACAATTAATCCACAGATCTACAAGCTATAACCATTCAATATGTTGCTGCTATGGTTATTTTGAATACGGTGCATTTATCTATATGTTTATATTACCTAGCTTCCCCCCAAATGTAAACACTGCCAGCACAAGAAGTGGAATCGCCATGCCCCCTCTGTAGTGCCAACACCCCCAAAAGAGTGTACTCAGAAAAGTCTGTTGAATGAGCCAGGGAAAGTTTCTCCAGCACGCCAGTTCTCCCCGGGGAACAAAGAGTTAACTGAGCTGAGAGTGAGAACTGAAGCCTTGGAGGCTTGCGCACTTCCGAAAAGCTCACTGGCTGGTGGGGAAGATTGCTATCAAATCTGAAGGGCTCTGAACTTTCATTTAACAGATTTAGCAGCTTCCTTCTTTAGTGCCTGGAGACCAGTTCTAGAAGAATAAGGTTAGTGTGCGTGGTGTGTGTGTGTGTGTGTGTGTGTGTGTACTCCTCTTGAGCTGAATAGTTACACTAAATCTACAGCTTATAATCGGCAATCGTTTTAATTTGTGATTTATTTGATGGCCATTATTTCAAAGCTTGCATAGGCCAGATAAAAGGCACAAATTTTTCTGCATAGAAGATAAGTGATTGATGCGATCCAGGGGTCTTGGTAGGGTTCGCTTTCTCTGCCAATTAAATTATTAAAAGGCAGGAAAAACCTCGACCTCAAGAGGTAGCAGTGACGAGATCTCAAACACCACAGGCAGGAGCGGACAGAATCAGCAGTCGAGAGGTATTTACTGGGGTCGAGATGCCGCGCGCGCGCACACACACACACACGCAGCACACACAGAGTGAAAGACCCTCCGCAGGGCTGGGGTCTTAAGTCTCTGAAGAGTTGTTTTTCCTCCCCTAACTTAGGGTTGGTCAGTTGGAAGGAAAGGTGTTTTGCAGGCCTGCGACCATTGTGTAAACACGTGCTGATCCCGCTTGGAATTTGTTGAGCTAGTTTTTCTTCAGTGGGCCGGCTAGTAGGAGAAGAAAGCCTCCAAGGCCTTGTTTGAAGGGGCCTTGCCTTTGTCTCCAGCCAGGAGGGTATAGAAGAAGCCAGCCATCTTGAAAGTTCATCTTTATTACTCGTCCTAACTTCTCTCCCTGCTTACCCGGAAGTGTGTGTAACTGAAGAAACTAGCAGATGGACATCCATCCGTGGCCTCACAGGCTTGCATTGTCTGTGCACAGCTTTTATATGACTGGGCATGCTAAAACACCCTCGTTCATTATACATTAACTCTAGCTTCAAAAGTAAGTACGTAAGATTTAAGTGGGGTTTTAACTGACTGATTGACATAAGATACAAAGCTGAAAATTTAAAAATATTTATTAGTATTTGAGCAACTATATATTTGTTCCTCCCTAGAAAAATTTTAAATATTTTGTTTTCTTACTTAAAAAGGAGATAGGTGGCAGCCGTAGCATGCCACAACGCTTCAATGGTAAACAAAATCTTTCTGCAGCCATCATTCAGTAATGTGGTTTTTAATCTCTATGAGTTTGTATAACTACTACTAATTCGTTGATTGTAGGCTTTATTACATTGTGGTCCGTTTGATTTATGACGTCATTTAATTCAGATGTTTCTCTGTTTAGTTTTTGTTCAGATGACCTGTCTATTGGAGAAAGTGGGTAATGAAGTTAGCTAGCTTTTAACTTGGCATTTTCTTTCTTTTTTTTTAAACCTAATTTATTTAATTTTATTCTATGTGCATCGGTATGAGGGTGTCAGATCCCCCGGAACTGGAGTTATAGACAGTTGTGAGCTGCCATCTGGGTGCTGGGAATTGAACCCAGGTCCTCTAGAAGAGTAGTCGGCGCTGCTAACTACTGAGCCATCTCTCCAGCCCCAACTTGATATTTTCTAACTTGTCACCATGATTAACATATTTTTTGCTATTTTGTTGACATGTTATTACCTGGAAAAATAAAGTCTTTGGCACCAATTAAAGGCTCCAAGTTCCCACTGGGCATTCCAGTTCAGATGTTAGAAAAGATATTTTTTTAGAGATATTCAGGAAACCATTATATCAATTCCTGGTTCCTTTCTCCAAATATCAGAGGTGATCTCAAATAATATACCCTTGTTGAGTATAGTTTGTTCTTGTCTCTCAGTTGTGAGCGACAACATTTATAAAGCATAAGGCAAACAATTTTCACACATCTAAGTGGCTAATTTTAAAGACTGCTATTTCTGTTCAAGAAGCGGGACTTTGTTGACAGCCCAGAAGCCTCAAATGCCCCTCCCCAGTCCTAGTCAGGTATTCATAGAGCCATCCTTGGTCCTGCCTTTGTGTTTTTTCTCTATAGCTTTACCTCGAGTGCGTGTGTGTGTGTGTGTGTGTGTGTGTGTGTGTGCGCGTGCACATGTGCGTGTATGTGTGCATCCCTGCACAAGAACTTTGCTTATCCTGTTTCATCCTGGCTATAAACGGTGACAAAGCATACACTGTATACTAGTTTGTTGTTCAAATGCACTTTTTACTGCTTCCCCCTAGGAAACTGAACCAGGAATCATGGAAAGCAAGCCCAAGCTCTACTACTTTCAGGGCAGAGGCAGGATGGAGTCCATCCGCTGGCTGTTGGCTGCGGCGGGAGTGGAGGTTGGTTTCTGGTTGGGGATGGAACTTAAGGCTCAGCTCTTCCTTCTCTTTCTTTCCAGCTGTTTTCTTAGATAAGAGAAAAGCGGGGAGATTAGTGTCAAGCCTGCGGTGCAGGGGTGGAGGGAAGATGAAGGCCTGGGGTCATCTGAAGCTCCTAGAGATGAAAAGATCTTAGAGGAAGAACTGTACATCTAGCCCATTCTCTCTACTGGACTGGTTGGTTTTTCTGAGGCCATTTAACTCCTACCTGAGCACCTCACTGATGGAATGTTCATGGCTGCCTGCTGGAGCCCCAGCCCAGATGTGCAATCTGTTAACTGGCTCTTCCCTTATCTCTAACTCCTGCCCCTGACTTTATAGAATCGGCCTAGAATGGTCTCTCTCTGTCTGCATACCATGCCCTCTGGAGTAAGGGCTCACTGCTGGCTTTGTTTTCCACTTTCCCCTATAAGGACTCTTCCTTAGCTTGCCCATCTGTCCCACACCATCTCAAGTTGTGAAGGACAAAACCACCATAGCAAAGCTTTAGAAAACCCATCAGGAAATGACCATAGCCTCACTTGAGTGGGATCTTTGGATCTCTTTCTTTGACTATATCAGTCCCAAAGATAAACTGAAATTGATCTGGTAGGAAGGAAAAATTATAAAAACCAAATAGGAAAAAGGGAGGGGGGAGGGAAAATTGGGCTGGAGAGATGGCTCAGTGGTTAAGAGCACTGGCTGCTCTTCCAGGGGTCCTAAGTTCAATACCCAGCAACCACATGGTGGCTCACAACCATATATAATGCGATCTGCAACCCTCCTCTAGCGTGTGGGCATACACAGGATAGCTATGAATGCAGCCAATATATTAGTAGACGACAACATCATGTCACAGTGTCAAAAGGCTGGACACCCCTGACAGTTAATCTCTAAATACACGCCCCATCTTACTTTTAGGTAGGAGTCGACAGCTTTGCGGTTCCCTTTTAGATTTTATTCTGAAAGCTCTAAGGCATTTCCAAAAGGTGTCGGAATCTCTGTCTTCCTGCTTCCCATCTTAAAGTTATAACCATGTCTCTCTCTCCTTACTCTAGTTTGAAGAAGAATTTCTGGAGACAAGAGAACAATATGAGAAGTTGCAAAAGGGTGAGCTTTGATTTATTCAATGCTGTCTTATGGGGAAAAAATAAAAACTTGTTTCTGGATATATAGTCATCATATAAAACACAGGTCTCAGAAGTGGCTGCTACTGGAAGGAACTGGCACCAACATTCCTACAAACGCTGCCTGATTAACCCCCGTTTTCCTGATGCAAAGCTAATATTATCGGATCTCTGTAGCCGTCATACGTACCAAGTATCTGACAGCACTGGCCTCAATTAATTAATAGTATAAGTTCCTTAGCGGCTCAGCACCTGACTCCCTTTAGTGAGGCTTAACCTTGTCCCGGTTGCTGGCGGCAGAGTAAGGAGGCTAGCCCCTACGTTTTGTGGTTCACACCTATTTTTTCTTTGTGTTTTTAATAGATTTATCGAATTATGACACACAGGATGTACTTGAGACTGAACCATGCCCATTCTTTTTTTACTTTTAAATTTTATTCTCTGACAATTCCATTCATGTATGTGATTTTGATAACACCCCATTGCCCTCTCCTATCCCTCCCATCCTCCCACTGAATGCTTGAATGCTTTGTTCTTTCTGCCAGTCCCCTTCTTATTTTTTTTTTTTTTTTGGACTCACTGAATTTAATTAGAATTGTTTGCATGAGCATGGTTCAGAGGTTGTTTAGTAGAGCATGGGCGTTTTACAAGTGGCCTTACCACCAAAGACAATGACTCCCCCTCCTCCAGGATCCATTAACTATCAATGGCCCCTCAGGGAAGAATGGAGCCCTAATGCCCCTCCTCTATCCATGATGGAATGTTGATGGGCCCAGTCTTAAGCTAGTCTCAGTAACCCTAGCTGCTGTGATTCCTGGGATGCAATTGACCCAGAGGCACCATCTCACAGCATCCCTCCCCATCCTCTCATTCTTGCTTCCATTCTGGCCCCTCCTTCATGATGCTGCCTAAGCCTTGAAGAGGTTATTTTGCTTAGTGACTCTGTAGGCATCTTAGTCTGTGTGTGTACACACTACAGTATCCACACAAGGACAAAATCACCTAACACACAAGTCTCAAAAGGTTTTCCTGCTGGTGAGCAATAATAAACTACAGTGATGTAAGCAGTCACCAATGAAAACTTGGTTTTGATTTACTTGGATTCCTGGCATTGTTTTCTAGTTCTTATCCCTTTTCAAAGTCCTGCTAAATAGATATTATTGTTAGAGACAGGATGCCGAAGCTCAGGTAAGTAGCTCGCTCTAGCGTGCAAGGCTAGAATGCATGACTGCCTGTGATGTGCTCTTGTGCCTGTGTCCCTCCTGCTGTCATGCCCTACAGAAGCAGGCAATGTGCTTTGCTCATATTCTCAGACCTCCGTCCCAGCTCAGAATATCTGAGGATGAGGCATTCTTGGCAACCTTCATGCCCAAACACTGTTACACAGCTTAAGGTTTGAGATCTTTTTATATATACGTAAAATTTACTCTGTATTTGTATAAACATATGTACAAATATATTGTATAAAATATATGTATTTGTATAAAACAGTTTATAAATATGTATATATTAGAATCAATACAGAAAAAATCTTTAAAAAAATTTTTTTTTTATTTAACTTTATTTTATGTGCATTGGTGTGAAGGTGTCAGATCCCCTGGAACTGCATATTCAGACAGTTGTGAGCTGCCATATGGGTACTGGGAATTGAACCCGGGTCCTCAGGAAGAGCAGTCATTGCTCTTAACTGCTGAGCCATCTCTCCAGCCCCAGAAAAATCTTTTTTAAATTGCTGTTGTTCAATACACACAAAAAGAGCATGAATTAATCAAACAAAGCTTGAATTTGACACGAAATAAATGATTGTCGTTTCTTACCTACTGGGACCTGTCATTCATCATTTTAAGAAGAAACCATTCTGGGGAGTCAGTTGGGCCATCCTGCAGATGAACTGTAACCGTTGAAATCATTGAAGATGAATAGCTTACTCTCTCTTTCATGTCACAGACGGCCGCCTGCTTTTTGATCAAGTCCCTTTGGTTGAAATTGATGGAATGCCGCTGACACAGTCTAGAGCCATCCTCAGCTACCTCGCTGCCAAGTACAACTTGTACGGGAAGGACCTGAAGGAGAGACTCAGGTACCTTAGTGCTCATCCCTCTACTAGATTTTGAAACCAAGCATCTGTGGTCTTATACCAACAGAAACCTGATTTGATTGCATCTTTCAACCGGCACTGAAGGGGGAGTGTAAGGGAACAAAGGGGAGGTGCTGTTGCTAGAGGAGGCAGGACTTGTGCAGAATTCTGAGCACATATCTACCCTCTCTTTGGATATAACCCATACTAGTCAGCTTATAGTATTCTCATATTCATGCCTAGAAAACTATGATCTCAGAAATTGCCCTAGTGAAGTATTTTACATGAAGGTGAGAATGACTGATTCAGCAAACAAACCCTGAACATATTATCAATGATCTATTTTGCTATCTGTTGTCCATTACAATAAAATAGTCCCACATAAGCTCAGAATGGAGTGTAATAAAGGTCTCACAAATCAGCAGTACTCTGCATTTGTGGGGAACAGGAACCAAATCCAGCAAGTCAAGGAGCCCGCACACATTTTTACATCTGTATATGTAGTACATTTGACCATGCCTAAAATGGGCCAGTATCTTAAAGGTTATCGGATGAGGGAATTCCCACAGCACCTCCCCCTTTTATCTAAAATAAAAGAGTTCTAAGCCTAATACAAAACTGTACACAATAAAAACAAATATCAAATATAAAAATTAGAATTACAACCAGCATAAACAATATCAAGCATGAAACATATGCTGAATGCTTCAATACTTATCCTATCCTAAGGAGTCTAAGTCTTGTCTTAGAAATAGCTTGGCTAAGTCATGAGAGGAAAGTAACTATGACTATCTAGTCTTCAACCCCATCAAAGACCTGAGAAGGGAAATAATATTACTTGAGTAAACAAGAAGTGCAATCAAGCACCTTCCAAAAGGTGCAATAAATGACAGAGACAACTGGCTATCTGGGCAATTACCCAAAGTCTCATTTGCAATGTTGGAGCTACCAACTTTGGCTAAGGCCTAGAGTAACTGACAGACTATTTTCAGAGGCAGGAACATTTAAAACCATCTTACTCTGTCTTGGCAATGTTTGGCAGTCTTTTTTCATATATCTTGCTTGTCCAGTTTGGATACTGTGCATTTTGTCAGTGGTCATGGCATCAACAGTTCCTTTCCCAACGGCTGGTTTTGCCAAGAAGAAAACAAGCTCCAAGTGGAGTATCTTCGGTGCCCATCATTCTCTTGGGAATACATCGGATCTGCCAGGAGCAATGGTGTCTCGCATTAACAGAACCCTAGGTTATTTAAATGCCATATTCTATAGTTCTTTGAAGTGGTTGAAAATTACCTATCTATGCAGAATAGAATCTCTATGTATCTAAAGAATCCGATTAGTCTAACTATAAGTATATAACAAACATGGATGACTATTGACCTATAATCTTAATACCTATATAGCTTAAAGACTAAGGCTTTATACTAGAATATTAGATAATCTTTAAACAACTGTGCAGCAAATAAAGACAAGGACCTCAAAATATAAATAGTGTCTAACTATCTTGATCAGAGGTAGAAATGTCTAGTACAATATGATATATGTATATCCTAAAATTGTATCAATATGCAAAATATCTTAAGCCAAGGTAGAAACATGCATGCATACAATATGACAAAATAACTTTTGCATAGGTTCACAAATATAAGCAAAATAGAAGCATATTCAATATAGCATATAATTTGAATTTGTAGCAATACATAAGAATTTATAGCAATGTAGATTGTCTATAAATAGTAGCTCACAAGTATTCACTTATTATTATTATTATGAATAAGCTCACACTAATCTACCTATTATCCCATTCAATTCCTTTTGTTTTAAAGAGACCCCTTACATAATTTCTACCTCAACCCCAACCCTATACCACTTGTAATTAACCCCTAATAGATGTACCTAACCCTGAGGACATACTTTGTTGGGAGAGGGATATCATTTTCTAGAATTACTTTCAGCTGTCATGAGGGTGAGGTTATTTCTATGGGATCCTGTAAAAACTAAAATGACGGTTAAGTTCTTTTTTTTTTTTTTGAAATATTTATTTATTTATTATGTATACAATATTCTGTGTGTATGCCTGCTAGCCAGAAGAGGGAACCAGACCCCATTGCAGATGGTTGTGAGCCACCATGTGGTTTCTGGGAATTGAACTCAGGACCTTCGGTAGAGCAGGAAATGTTCTTAACCTCTGAGCCATCTCTCCAGCCCCCGATGGTTAAGTTCTTATTTGAAGTTCTGGCCAGAATGTTGTAAGAAGGTGCACCATTTCAGCTAGCCAAGTTGGAATCATCTTGAGCAGCTGGTACCCAAAACTGATCTTAAAGTACCACTATCTGCATCATGACGTCATATCAACCAGGTGGAATCATTGTTGTGGGGCCCCATCTTCTTCCTGGAAACTTCAAAGATTACTTCAGGAGAATTTATTGTTCATTGTGGAAAACTTAAACATTATTCATATAGACATTTATTTATTTATTTAAAGATTTTATTTGTTTATTATGTGTACAGTGTTCTGTCTGTATGCTTGTTGGCCAGAAGAGGGCACCAGATCTCATTACAGATGGCTGTGAGCCACCATGTAGTTGCTGGGAATTGAACTCTGGACCTCTGAAAGAGCAGTCAGTGCTCTTAACCTCTGAGCCATCTCTCCAGCCCTAGACATATATTTAATGAAAAGTACAATAGAGACAAAATAGTATGGGGAGATGTTGCGGGAGGTCCTCCCACTCCTCCAGCCTATCACCGCTGAGGTACCAGCCCATTGGGGCGTGGTTTCTCTCCCTTTAAAAAAGCGGCCACTTCCCTCTCCTCTCTCTCTTCACTTCCTGCTCCGCCTGCGACTAGACTCCTTTCCTGGTTGCATAGAGGGCTGTTGCCTGGGACAGTGATCTGTAAGTTTTTCCCCCTTTTAATAAATACCACCCTAATAATCATAACCCCGAATTGGTGTGGCATTGTTTGTGACTTACGCCTTCATTTTGGCGCCCAACGTTTGGTTTTAGAACCTCTCCTTTCCCCACTCGCAGCCGCGAGTTCGGCTTGGCGGCCCCAAGTTCAGCTTGGCGGCTGCGGGCTTGGCGGGCGCAAGTTCAGCTTGGCGGCCGCGGGCTTGGCGGGCTCTAGTTCGGCTTGGCGGGAGCCCTCCCCTTCCTCAGCCGCCAGCGGCCTTGGACTCCCCACGTGGATTTAAACTCCACAGGCCCGCGTAGTCTCTGGCCGCGTGGTTTGCTCTTTTCTGAGTCATTTTTAAATCTCCCTTGCAAGTACAGCTCTTAAGTGGCACGAACCAGAGCACGTGGTTGCTGAAAGCTGCAACCCCTCAGGGTGACTCTGTCACGTGGAGGCATAAGCGGCTTCCAGATTGCTCTTCTCTACCCCTGGATTCTGGGTTTCTGGTTCCGTCTCAGGAATTGATTTAATTACATTTACTTTGTTGAGAAACTTGCATTTTCCAGTTTTTAACATCTACTAAGGCACTGAAACAGGACCATGTTTTCACCGCGACTCTGCAACAGCGCCACCTGCTGGATAATAGGTAATATTGCAGTTTTTGTTTCTAACGCAAATTTTACTGCTTTGTTTTCACTAATACAATGGATTAGTAAATTTATATTTACTAATACAACGAATTACATCATACAAGGTTTATATGATTATGGGGATACCATAATTTGCTTGTTACTAGCCTTCAGTTTTCTTTTCCATATTCTATCATTAAGGAAGAATATGGCACTACTAAGAACGATTGAATCTTTACGTACTAATAATGAACAGAAGAATATGGCACTCCTAAGAATGATAGAATCTTTACGAACTAATAATGAACAACTAATTGACAGGATTAAAATTATTGAAAATCAGAGGTTATCTGAACAAGTGGATACTATGACAGACAAAATTGATTCCATATCCAAGGGTATTAGAAAGTTACCTGAAAGGGTTCAGGCTGTTGAATTTGACGTTCAGACTTTATCACAAAGTTTTGATAAGGTAACAGACAGAATGTACCTCCAAGATGGGAATCTACATGATATACAAGAAAAGTTTAAGGAGGACATGTTATCTTTGAAGGAAAAAATTAAAGCTTTGGAATCACAGGTGCAGAATGGGGACCAAAAAATTGATACCTCAGTGAAATCACTGGAAATATATACAGGTCAGGAGATTCAGGATTTAAGAGAGACAATGATAAAAAGATTTGAAAAGATTGGGGAAATTATTGCAGCTGGTGAACAGAGTAAGGAGGCACAAGGACAGGATACAAGGCCTCCACCAGCTATTAGAACTGGCTTACCCAGGGTTCTAGCGACATACCCTATACTTAATTCTGAAAAAGCATCAACTTCTAAAGGCTCAAAGGGAGTCAGAGAAGCTAGATGGACGCCAATAGCAATGAATGATCTGAAAGAAATTAAGCAAGCTGTTGTTAATTTTGGCTTGCACAATGCATATGTAAAGGAAATGATAAGGACTTGGGCTTCTAATGCTAGAGCTACTCCCCATGATTTCCATCAGTTAGTGTCTGCAGTTTTAGATAATGGACCTTCCTTGATGTTTGGAATTTATTTCAGAGAAGAATCCAAACATATGGAACAGCAAGGAAGAGCAAAAGGTATTGAGGTTTCCCAAGATCAAATTCTTGGTGCAGGAGAATATGCTGATCCACAGGTCCAAGCTCTTTATGACGATGAAGTACTGTGTCTATGTCACCAAGCAGCTTTAAATGCTTGGAATAGGATACAAGATCCAGCAAAAAGGGTTGAATCATATACCAGAATTAGGCAGGGACAGAGAGAACCCTTTATTGACTTTTTGCAAAGATTAATTAAGGCTCTGGACATAGGGGTAACAGACCCAGAAGCTAGACGAATACTTCTTGAATCTCTAGCTTTTGAGAATGCAAACATAGAATGCAAAAAGATAATTGGGCCTTTAAAGTCTAGATCAGCACCTATGGATGAATGGATTCAGCATGCGATGAATGTTGAGACGTTTAGCTA